TAAGTATTAAGTTAGATTTCTTGGTATTAAATTGAATTCTTCTCGCAGATGATTTTAGTCAGAGGTGGTGTCGTCGGTAAGGATGTCAGCATGAATTTTTGCTCGGCAAAAATCTGTCGCATGCAACAGCTTATACGGTAGTCAAATATATCATCGTCTCTGATTCCTTTCGATTCCTTTCGATTCCTTATTAAACTTTGGTTTACAGGGAAATTATCTGTCAGAGTGTAGCTGAGATATTGCGTACGCTGTCGTTAATAGAAAGGTGCGCTAAGATGATAGGAAGTGACGTTTTATGTTCATCAGTATTAGTGAGACATATTTTTTCAAGTATTTTCTACCATCATCTAAGAACCAGGGAATAATTTTTGAAAGTTAAGGAACCCCGAGACACATCCGAATGTTTGCAAAATCGGCTCCACGGATACTTCCAACTTCCTTCACGAGTAGACGAAGTCATGCAAACACTGAAAAAGCCCTTTATTACTTAATTGCAATCTGTTTACGGTCAACGAATTAAACTACTTACTTCATATTCTTTTCCCTTTTAAACCTCAATTAAAAGTCAACGTTCTTATTTATTATGCACTCGACATTTTCTCCTGATTCTTTCAAGGCTTTTCTTGCGTTTTTCTCAGTGAGTACTTTCTTAGTCCAAACTTTTCAGGACTAACAACACGGGTGAATAGTTTTCGGTCTTCAGCGTCTTAGATCAATTTCATTTCCTTTCCTGGGAAAAAATGATCGCGCTTCCCTTAAAATTAATATTTGTCCCATAATCAGGCATTTTTAATAACAATAACTGACCACACGACCACCCTTTAGTTATGAAAACCTTATTGTGGAGCGAACAAAGCTCCCTGCGATTCAGTGTCTATTCAAAAACTAATCTACCTAACCTTAAAACACTTCAGAACCAAATAACGTAGAAGATAATTACCCTTACCAGGTGCTTTAAATAAAGAGATTTCATTCCTACTGTCATGCCCAGTTGTAGATCACATTGGTAAAGAACCCATACTTAGTAGCCGAGAAACAAACCACCTATGTGGCAAATTATTCATGACAGTTTTTTAATAACTTGCATGGAGTGTGATCTCTTCGGTGATGCCAAATTAAATCTACTGAACACATAAGACTCGCCGACAGATGTTGTCTAAAAATGTGAATACTTTCTTAATTTTAATCGCTATGACGATATCGCTTCATGCAGGTTAGATTATTATTCTGCCTAAAACAAGGGGCCAAGTATATTTGGAATTGTTTCTTTTTTGTTCTCTTCCGTTTTCTTTGTTTGTTAATGTTATTTTTGTTCAGTGTATTCACTCTGAACAAAGACAGAAAAAGCCTAAGCTATGCTTTATTAGACGAATCTTTACGAAAAAAATATAATCGCTACGAGTTTTACGAAATTGGTAATTATCCAAACCAAGATATACATCTATACATCTTATCGATATTCAGGGCGCGTAGGAAGCATCAGGGAGTAAAAAGCTTCTAGCATTTATGCCTTTTAGGGTGCATCAGTTTGAAGCATATTAACGATTGTGAATGCTTTTTAAAGATTAAGACCGGAAATGCACGAATCTTCAGATTTAGATCTTATGAAATTTGAACAAACATTATTAAGATCAACTTAAAAGCCAAATTGTGACAAAGAGTCAGGCTCTATTACCTATAACATGTTTCAGCGAAAGGTTTAAAGAACTGATTTTTTTCTTTAAATCTTCATTTGGCCCATGATAATTAATTTTTATTTCGAAACTGTAGAAAAGCGGTGTCAGGTTTTATGTCGATCCAGCCGAGCTATTTCAGTCAAGTTTAAATAAGCCTCTCAACTTCTTTTTAAAATACAAAGGTCCGCCACTGGCCATCTTATCCATCCTATGGGATCGAAAAGTCAAAAACGTTCATGAACAGCATTGCAGAGACGTGAGTAATTACTCTGAGGTAAACTTTCCCTTTAGGCTTCTCCAAAAGCTATTTCCCTAAAATTTTATCCGTTTGTATTCATCTTTCTTCAAAAACTTGGGTTGTAAAATGACAAAATACTCACGAGCCTCTTGTAAAATGTATTTTTTATCCCATACTATTGCAAGAAGAGTAAGTATTTAGACGAAATAACTCATTTTACCGATGTGAGGAGAAGAGTCTTGTGCCAACTCCCCCTCCTCCCCCGCCGCCTTTAATTCAGACGCTATGAGATTGTTGTACAGGGAAGGTTGACGGGGGGTGCGGGTTTCTCGAGCAAGGGCCAAGGAGATGAAAAGCCCCATGTATGCTTCACTTCACGTATTTTCAAAGAACTTTCGAGCAAAGTTGGATTTTTTATTGCGAAACAATTATCACTTCCTTTCTGCAAGAGATTGTAATAACAGGAACCGACTCGTTTCAGTTGTTTTCAAAATGTGCTAGCGAATTATTAGCCCCATCAACATGATAAGTTTTTATATAACCACACACGACAAAATCCACGAATGCTACAGTGTATTTTGACTTCGGCTTGAAAGTGCTTAAGCCCCAAATTACCCTTTTTTTGGGGGTTATGAAAGGGCTTTGGTACAATTTTATGGAAAAAGGGTCAAGATTTTATCCTCACACTTATTCAAATCTTCTCTTCAATAATAATCACTGAACTATAGACATGTATGATCAGAGATGACAAGAAGCTAAGACTTGAGAGATAATGGGTGCTTGACATCTTTTCCCGAATCTTTGCACAATAATTTTTTTTTTGAAGATCAAAAATTCCATCTCATAGTCGGGACAAAGATTTTAAGGAATAATATGAGTCGAAAAAACAGTTTATTTTGGTTTTTATTATTAAGTATTATTATTTCTCAATGTGTTATTTTATAACTTAAGTGCAACTAAGTAAAGAGCCATTACTGACATCTAGGAACCAATTTATTGATTTTTAACATAAAGTAATTTAAACTGACACTACTGACTGAAGACTCACGCAAAATGATAGTTGTTATTACAACTACACCTTTCTCCTCCTTTTTATATGGAAGAGCGCGAGAGCCTCCTAAAAAGTTATTCTAAATGTTGACAAAAACATTCTAATCTAACAAGTAAATAAAGTTTTGCGGAAACGTGTCATATAAAACACGTTGGCATATATAACCGCTTTTATGCCCTGCTCTCTGAAAAGAGAAACAGAACCTAAATGACTGAATCTCGTTTTAGCATTCGTTAGTCTCCTCTCAATTAATCAACATCTGGAAACACGTTACTTAAAGTGGCCACATCGACAATTTGGCACAACCCTGGGCAATTTTTTTCATTTACTTTACAGGATTCCGCTAGAAGTGAAACTGAACCCTTTTCAATTGACTGGAAATCCTAAAACCAATACTAAAACAGTAAAAAATGACGTATTCCAATGATAAAAACCAAAAGACACCAAACGTAACACAAATCAGTAAAACACACTTTTCGCGAATAGTTTGCAACCGGCGCTGGTCGCGGTAAAAAATGCATTCTGTGTCGTGCGCAGCAAAATACGACCCAAAGGGAGGAGAAACAAGGATCTAACTGTGAGTATGAAAATTGAAAGTTGCTTTTTGTTTTGAGCTGACAAAGAAAAAACAAATTGATTACATGATAAACCCTTACAGTCAATTGATAAGCGTTCCTATAATGTAACACGTGAAATCTGAAGAACTGAACTCACAATAGTTTCTTTTTAAAATACTAGCTAGTCCTATTTCCTTGCATGTTATTTAATGACTAATTATAAATTGATGATATCAACCAAGATACGACTACGTTTGTGATCGTCACATAGTCGATCTAACTTACAGTTCCAGCGAAAGCTATTATAACACCAATTATTACGGTACCAGTTCGCTCTGTAGGCGTATCAGTATTCCCAGTCCAATGAATTGTGATGTACGTGAGTAAAATACGTGAGCTGATAAACGGTGTTCACCTACAGAGAAACACCGTTTATCAGCTCACGTGCAAAGCTTGTGGCGAATATTACATCGGAAGCACGACACGATTCCTACATGATCGAACAAAAGAACACTTGACCAACGACAACTCGTCGGTAAAAAAAACATCTCACAACACACCATCGCCACAACAGCCATAACATTGAAGTCAAAGTAATCACGCGTGAAAATGACCCCGTCAATCTGCGATTGTACGAAGCGTATTACATCAGAAAGCACAAGCCGGGACTGAACTCCCTTGAGGAATGCACTGAACTTAACGATCTTCTATTTTAATGAGCTATTTTAATTAACTGTTTTTAACACATATTTTAGAACATTTTATCACGCCATTAGTTTTCATGCGTCCTACTGGCTAGTTTTACACTATGCTAATTTACAGTGGCACCTCCAACGTTTAAAACCATAGCGCAAATATTTTATCGTCCTCCCTGATGATGCCGTAGAACGACGAAAGCTCGGAGTGAATAAATAAAGAAAGAACCACAGTAACACTTAAAGGCTTCATTTGATCAATATCCCACATAAATATATGTAATGATTGAAGTGCCGAAAAATATGAAATACTGTGTTCATAACATTTTCTCTACAAAATACATACTAGTCCTCATTACCTGCATGTTATTTGTTAATTAGTTCTCAATTGATGCACATGTCCATCTAATAAATTGGTCAGAAAAGAGCCGGAAAAAGAACAAAACAGCAGTTTTTATAAGATACGTATTCCTTATGTCAGGAGATGGTCACAAAAAATCTATTCTAGAAAATTATGTTTGTAAATCTAAAATCTGAACTCAAAAACAAATGACTTTAATTCTTCAGGTTGCACCGTTTGGCCAACACCTTAAAGCGTTCAGTAACTGACCTTGAATATTAAACAAAATATTATTCAATTCCGGAGTTTAAGACTAACAACAATCAGCCTTCAAAATAGAATTAGCCTTACACGTTAGAGAAAGTGCTGCCAAGGGCATGTCACTGAAGAAACGTGATGATCACTCTACCATGTCCATACCTATTAAAACAACATTAATTCTGCTAATTTGTCCCACTGTTAAAAGATCCACCCCCTCCCCCACAAGAAAACTGTTCATTAGCTCCACCATTTCCTCCAGAGTAACCTCCACCGCCTCCAGTTCCACGGTTACCTCCACGAAAACCACCGCCACCTCCAAACCCACCCTTACCATTTCCACCCTTTCCTCCTTGAAGATATCCTTTACCTCCTCGATCAGAACCGCTCGAAGCGCTTAGTCCATTACTGTAGAAGCCGCCGCCGCCACCACCTACAATAAACGAAAACTGAGAAGCAGTTGTCTCATAAATGGCTTCTATTTGACTACTTACTTAAGAGCGTTTAAACGACAATTCGCAATATTATCAACTTACTGCACTTCTCAATTTTTAGAAGCTTATTTAAAAATATTATTGGGTAGTCAATTGCTAGAAATAGAACAGCTTATCAGGACAAAATAAATGTACATGAGGTGATGCGTAGGATTTTTCAAAAAACTGATATTCTAAGAGGTACCTCCGAGAAAAGAAAAACTTCAAAGTTGGAATTAGTAATTTCAATAATTAAGTTCTGATAAATCTTACTGTCGTCCTCTTGTCCTGATGGATTGAACCTACTGATTGTTTGGTTTTTTTCTTCTTTCTCCGCGTACCTGAATATTCTGTATTGGCGTTTCCTCCATTTCCGTTGCTTCCTCCTGAACCCAATGGCAAGTCATACCCTCCATTCCCTGTTGTGTTTATGGACGCATCACATCCAGGATGTTGTTCCAATACATTTTTAATTCCTCCTCCACCTCCAGCTATAATCAAAGGCTTGTTGTTTTCTCTCACTACAAATGTACCTCCTCCACCTCCGGCAGTTTTTGGGTTTGAATTCCCTTTTCCCCCTTTTTGACCAACAAGTACATGAATGATCTCATCTTTGGTCAAATTAAAGTTTCCGATCATTCGTGCCCCTCTTCCTCCGGTTTTGATAAAACTGTCCTCACTGTAGCCCCCTGAGGCTCCTATTGCTTCTATTCTGTATTCACCAGTGCGTGGCACAGTCCACACTTGAATACCGCTGGACACTGTTACTTGTCCGTCATGGTCTTGATCTTTGTAATGACTACCAATCGACTTTGGACCCTCTGATTCAATCTTACCAAGATTTGTAAACACAGCTGTAAATCCTGCATAAAACCATACAATAAAAGTGGTAAGAAATTGTCAAAATTTTCTTTGCCATTTCTAATGGTACAATTACTGAGGAAATGTTCTTTCAGTTACGTAAATTATTGAATCACCGAAAGAATGGAATAGAAACGTAATTCACTTGGAGTGTTCGAACAAGTCGTACTGTACATTTTCCGACGCTTGCTCAAGTTTGTATTTTTAGAAAGTAGAAATCCTCGATAGTCGGGCATTGACTTACTTCACTACATCTGAGGATTACATTCGACAGTAACATATTGATTGCCGACCTGAATCAAAATGGTGTTTTTGAATAGCGACATGATACTTCCATGAACTGTACGGTTGAGCCATCACAAGGTTTTGTTATTGAGGAATCTTAAAATCTTAAGAGAAGACAAAGTTTCCTTCCCATTCCCACAATTAGATTAGTTTTTCTCGTCAAATTATTCCAGTTTGGGGCTCGGCGATCACACGCGACAATGAAAAGAGGAGAAAGAAGGAAGGAACTCCATGTGACCAAAGCTTATAGGTCAATTGAATAATACTATGCAGAGCAATTTTCAAGTCGTACTAACGACTTGTGCGGGATTTTATTGGTTTTTTGCCTTTCTTCGCCCTGTTATTGGTCCAGAAAACTCGTGTCAACTTGTAGCAGCTCGATTGTGATTGAGATGACACACAGCAAACAATATCCAAGCGCTCGCTTTTGAACAGGAAATGAAGTATTATCTGGTATAAATTACTCGTTACAAGAGGTAACGCTCAATCGTAATTGTCATTCAGGCCTTACCTGGTACACAGCCATACAGCTCTACCCTCATTGATATCCAGTCCTGCCACTCTACTAGTTTAAAACGAATGTAACGCGCTGTGATTGGTGGGTTAAGGTCGTGATAAACCACGGTATTCTGATCAATGTTTCCAGCAAAAACCTTTGAAGTAACAACATAAGAGGTTTCCATTAAATCTTTGATAAGAATTAATTTTATGAATAACAGTTATTACGATGTGACAACAGTCCCCCAACTCAATCATACACCATTCCTCCAATCTTTCCTCTTGGGAGCCTCGATATTATACAATTATTACTGGCGGTGCGTTAGCAAAACCCCTGCCAATGATCATCCAAAAATACTTCTTTTCCTGTTTAAACGGGAATAAATTCACAACAAATCAATTTTACCTTCATTGTGTTTTGTTCTGGGACTGTGTAATTGTAGAACATTTCTGTATCGTTGCCGTACTGCAGGATGTACTTTGTAACCCTCTCCCTCTTGGGTCCATTACTTCCTTGTGTTGCCACACGTGTCACTATAGTGTGCAGAATAACCAGATCCACTTGTAGTCATCATTTTTAGCTGCCCAAGATCCCTCTCTGTCAGGATTTATAACATGAAGTCTGCTCTGACTGGCGGAGTGGTTAGAGTCTCTCTCTGAAGAGGCGCTTATTTGTCCGTCAGAGATTTCACCGCTTTGCATGCCGAGAAATCTTCCACATTCTGTTTACGGAAAGTCGGCAGACGTTTTACAAATATAAGTTATCTACGGCAGCGAAATAAAGGCAAGCTATGAGATCATGAGGCAATTAATCAAGCGTAGTTTACACTGAGCTAAGAAATGTCGTTAACACATTCACATAAACTTTCAACGAAATGAAAAACCTTAAAGAGCGCATACGAGCAGATCAACAGTAATGTCTACAGTGATTATCAGCTTTAGAGGAAAGCCATTTTCCTTACCTTTCATGCATCCATGCAATTCCACTCTCATTGATATCTCACCTCTCCACTCCACTGGTAGAAAACGTATGTACCTTGCTATGATTGGTGGATTGAGGTCGTGATAAACAACACTGTTCTTGTCTTTGTTTCCGTCAAATTCCTGCATCATAATAGATGTGAAATAAATGTTGAGTGTTTTTATTCAAAATGCGTGGTACGTTCCCGCTTCGTATACATAATAATCTTTTAAAATAAAATCTATATAATTATATTATGCAATGTTTTTTACTGAGTAAATAGTGAAATATCTCACGAGCGATTTGATTCATGAAATACATCCCATGCCACCTTACGGTAAAATTAAGTTGAAATTTTTCTGCAAATATCTATCTGAGGGTAATCAAAAACTGGATCAAGATGAGATTTGTACCTGGGCAAAGAAAATGGTAAATTTATGAAATTTTCATACATCGTAACAATTTTCTTGAAAAACTGCCGACTCATGCATCATAACAAATCGAGAAACGAAGCTGATCTGATTGCAAAGAGGATTGTTTGTCCTAGAAAATTTCTCAAAGAACACATTGGGAAGTTTAAGTTGAGGAATGAACTTGGCTTTGTGTACAATGAGCAACTCATGTTTTAGAACCCCTCCCCACCTCTGATCAGTTTTACCTTTGATATGGTTTGTCCTTGTTCCTTGTAGTTTTGAAATCTCACTCCATAGTTGCTGTATTGTAGCTTGTACTTCTTCACCCAGAAGAAGCATTTGTTATGTTGATGGGATCCCTGTGTTGCTACTCGTGTTACTTCAGTGTTTTGAGCTCTGAGATCGAGCTGAAGCCACTGATTAAAATCCTCCACATAAGCTATCCGAGATTTCTGTGTGCAATGTAATCTTACAACTTTCATGTTATTCTTTTCTTGGAATGAGAAACTTATCTGCTCATCGGTGATTAAACCACTTTCCACACCAAGTGTTCCTTGACAACATAAATCTATTTTAAAACAAAAGAAAATCTAAAATTACCAAATAAAAAAAGAGAGTCGTAACATCTCAATATACCTTAAATTTCTCACACGCCATTTGTAGATATTCTCCATTTTACATAATTTGAGTACATTTTGGCTTCTGTCCACCTCAGGTGTACTCGTCACTTTTTAAAGCGACATTTTCTTTTCCCGGTAAAGCTCTGAATCGCTTGAAATTTAGAATCCTTGGAAAAGGAAATGTTGTTATAAAAGCAGGTATATAATTCATTTCCAGGCTTTCAATGAGGACCGAGCACCGTGGCTTATAAAATTGGGAAAATCACGTCAATTAACTGTCAACAACTGGTAACAACAAACATATGCCTTCAACAAAATACTTGTATACTTGGAAATTAATCCTTTTTTCCTTGAGAAAGAAAACGTACAACAGAAAGGTCACGTTTAGCTCACCTTGAAGAAAAATTTCTTTATACTTCAGGTTAGTTCTAGCCATGTCGGCGTATAACTAACCGCCTGAGTAAAGGTCATTAAAGGCGATCGATGGCAATCTTAACTCATCCCACAAGATTTTTAGAACCTCTTTTAACTTGATTTACATACTTTCGCTACACGTTTACCTCCCATGGAATGAACATTGATTAATAACATTTTATAACGGTGAACCTACAATAGCTCAGACAAAATACCCCGCGAATTGCTATTTTCCTTCATTCAGATCCTTTGTGTGTAATTATGAATAAAGTTACCTATCACGCAACAACATTCCCACAAGCGGCCGAGGTGCAATTCAATAGTTAGACTAATTACGCCACAAAATTTTGGTACGTTGTTCCAGAAACAGAAGAACCAAATTAAAACACGAATGCTGATTGCACGGAGGTAAACTGCAAAATGTAGCAGGTGATTTGAATAAATAACATATCTTTCGTAACAAAGAGGACGTTAACATCACAGAAATTAAAGCGCCACAGATCTTAACACCGATAAAACTAATCCACATTGGTAAAAAAACATTTTCCCCGTTTAATTTAAACAAGACAAAATCGAGGGCACAAAAAAAAAAATAATATTCATTCGCTCTTCCTTGATACGGCCATATAAATTTTAGACCAAGTTTCTACTTATTGAAGCGAGAGATGATATTCTCCAGCTCTCAGCTTTTTGCAGGAGCCCATGAGCTCCTGCTTTTAGTCACTAACAACTGCCGCTAGAGTTGCTGCAGTTTAGGGAAATTTAAGGTTATCGTTCTGAAAAATGACAAGACCGTATTTGACCGTATTTGCGCAAATAACTTATATTTTTGGAATTATTATGACATAAAAATGAATCTGGGCCACGCCCGTTTAACACTATTTTGGTACCTTTTAGGGGTGTATTCGAAGTTCTCCGACGAGCACTCCTGTCATTTTTATATGGGAGAACCACCTGGGTTAACACTGATCTTTCAGATGTAACAGTTAGGCGCAAGAAGCCCTACATCGAAAAAACTGCAGTCGCAAAAATCTTTGTCGCCACCCTGAATACCCTCTAGGATTGTTAACGACGACGACTGATTATAATGAAGTGTGTCAATTAAATGTGCCCCTGAGATGGAAAAAAAAATGGTTGTAGCGTTATTCTCACTCAATTCCGATTTTGTTCTAATAGCTGCCTCTGAAGCCTTTTAATGGGTAACTGACGGCTAAAAGGTCACTTTTTCGGAATACCGTCTAAATGCCTCGGCTAACACATTGAAACAGATACAAGGTGCTTTGAATGCCTCTTTGTGCCTTTTTTCGCCGGGAAAACTGTCCAAGATGCAGCTTCGTGAGTCATCCACCATAAACGCTTCGATTTTGATCATGTGACTTGACTCGTCACACGTGTGTACATTAAGCAAAGAAAATAAGGCGGATAGTGCTTCGAGTGAAAGCAGTTCTATTCCGGGGTCTGATTATTCGGATTTTGGGGCTTCGATGGAAGGCGAACATAATGGAAGAGTTTATAAATCTGTTGGTAAAATCAGGCCCTGGCAATTTGAACCGCCAGGACGAACGTAACCTAAAATAGAGCGCGAGAGTCAGAGGAGGATCCATAGCCCGTGCGCCGCGGCCGCCTCAATCAAGAAAGCGAGAATGGTGAGTGCATTTACGATTATAAATAAAGTATCTGAAAATCAGTCGCTTCTTAAACGTAGGAGCGATCAAGTAAAGAAAACCAAATGTACAGACTCTTGAATATCATGGGAGCGAAGTGTTTTTATGCTACACGCCCGCACCTTCCGAAGCTGTTTCACTGACTCAAAATTAATATAAACATACACGCTTGTGGAGGTAAATTGGCTGGATTATACACGTTCACACGCGATTGAATCGGTTTTATTTACGATAAACGAGCGCAAGTAATCTACTGTTCACTCAGCTGACATTGGTACATTTTTGAAACGAGTACCCTTTCGGACAGGATTGATTTCATCATGTTTCCGGTTGCAAATGAGAAACAACGCTTGAGCATGGCGCTCATAACAAGGCGATTCTTGTGACGTCCGTTTATAGTATGGTTCTGTTGTTGTACACTTCCATTGGAAGTTAATTTAACTTAGGCACACGAATTTGCTGTATATGCTGCTCAATGTTAGTTGTAATCATTCGTGAAAAACTCTCAGTTAGAAACGAAACGCATCGAAAGAAATAAACAAAAAGTTACAAAAGTAGGAAGTCATCTTTTGTGTTGCCCACTAGTCTCATTAAAAAATTTTAAAAAAGGATAAATCTTGCCCGGACCGTGGAAGAAGACTTTCGTTCACGAAACCAGATGACGACCTCCCATAATACGTGACAATACTTTGCGTTTAGTCACGCTCACTCCTGAACCGATGGGCCTGAGGTCACAGTGATACACACCAGACAAAATCTAAAGATAAATATTTTTCGGCTTGGAATTAAAAAAAATTTCTTTAAGTAAATAACTCCATAATAGTTAAGAGGAAAAATTGGGGGAACATATATATTTTTACAGCTGTTTGGAATAACGTGCAAAATATCTGTAGCTCTGAATACAGACATGCGATCCGTCGCGTTTCGATTATTCAACCTTCGTTATTTTATTTCTCACTTCGTATTTCGTAGTCTCTAAATGGTGACCTATATCAGAATCGAACAAATCTTACTTTTTTTCCGCTCGTAAATTTCGGCTGCAGCTGAACAGCCGAGACGAATTTGTTAGTCTCAGGTCTTGACATGACACTTTTCACTGCCTTACACACGTGTGAAGTATCACACCACGTGACCTGAATCGAACCGTTTTCAAAATGGCCGTCGATTAGGCGTCAAAAAAAATTTGTAGAAAATTTAATTCTACACAATATATCGTTAATTTGCTCATTTGGATTCTTTTACCCAAGAGGAATGTATTGGGACAAAAAAAAAGGAGAAACATTTGGCGTCAGTTACCCTTTAAGGTAGGATATCCGTGTCGCTAATTTGGAATCCATTTACTGATGTCGCAACCTCGTTCCCAAGGTTTCTCCCCTTCCCACCCCAATCTAAGAACTAAGTTGTCGATGTAATGAAATGGTCGCTATTGTTTTTCCTAGATGTCGTCAATTTGTTCGTTTCCTTGAAAGTCCTGTAAAATAGTTCAGCTAATGGCCCACAACACATAATTAGTAATTTAATGTTCTGTTTACTTTTTTAGCTGCTTCTCGTTCCTCATGCAGTTAAAACCTCAGGGTCTAACAATCGCGTAATCACACTTTTTTCTATACGCTTTTGTATAGATTAGATCGATTATTAAACGTTGCTTCCTTGAAAAAGAAGAAAGAAAAATACACAAGTTTAAGAGGTCGCAATGTTCACATTTGGGAAAACGTGTGTCGCTGTCTCAGCTTTTCATGCTCAAAACATGAAAAAGTTCCCAGAAGACTCACTTGCTGACTGCTGTACATTCCCGCTGCGTGTACAGTTAACTGAATTGAAAGTATATCTACATGAAGGGAATTTAGATTTCGTCTGTTCGTGTGGCTTCTTGTAATTTTGTTTTGCCTCTAAAAGATCATGAAAAAATAAGCTAGGAAAATTGAATAAACCCATGTAAGTACCAATCACGTATTTTTCGGATGTCTTTTAGGACATTTTGCCTCTTGACGGCTTTTTTATTTATGAAGATTTAAAAAGATATTTCTAGAAAAAATCCTATTACGTTTCTTAAGCCACTATAGGGTATCTTCAGAGAAATTATGAAGAATTTTGATTTTTCGAGATGTACCACGAATTTCCATTATCGCTCGGTCTTAGTGGACATTCTCTATTCAATGTACACACTGAGTCTATCTTGTTGTGCTACTGAATGATTAACCAAGAGTCAAGACAGAGGGTACCTCTACATTTTCATTTGCTTCTAGTTCGGCAGCAGTGCTCATCAGCAACGTACACGAAGGTACGATCCAGAATTATTGAATTGAACCTTTTTTATCTCACTATTTATGCAGGAAAATGGTCTGGCATGCTAATATTGAATTTTTCTGCATATGGCTTGAAAATTGTCAGTTTGCACTCCTTTGGTATACACATGATCCACCCAGGATCACCGACCAGACGGCAGTTCAGAACTTCTTCCTTGGTGCCTAAAATCTATCCTAGACCACCTTGTCGAGTTTTCCTTTACTTTTGCGGGTGCCACTCGAGAGAAAATGAAACTGAAACTCCGGAACCAAATGAATATTTATCCGCCATGTCTTTGATAAAAGTGTAAAGGTATCAATTCGTGAAAAGATTTGATACTTGAATACTGACTCTATTAGCAATTGCTTCTTTGCGTATTTTTTTTAATACGCTCCCGACTAAAAATGGACGGGTGATCTAGTGGCTAATGTAATTCTAAAATAAATGCTTCCTAAATGATAGTAAAAGGACATTTCTCCTCCCAGTTCACAGCATACAACAATAGCTATAGGTACTAACCTAAATTCACACACTTGTAATTTACTTCCAAGTATTTAGATATGCCTGGGCATGGATCATGACCAAAAACTGAATTATCTGCGTGCAACTCGCAATTAGCTTCTTCGTTGCACTTCATCCGCACAATGACCAATGAGTTCTCAGCTTTACAGTTTGTATTGCTAACTCTGGGATAACTGCAAGTGATTGAGTCCAGTCTGCCATAATTTGCATCCACAACTTCGATTATTCTTTGGTCATTATCACAACTTATGGTCCTTTTTCCTCCCTCGCAAATGATAACAGACCATAATATCTCTCAAATAAAGGAGGAAACAAACAGCACTATCAATACGCCAAAAGTTTTGGAATAATGTTCACTTAGAGAGCACCCTGCAATTTTGCTAGTCTCGTGCCGGCGTCTGTTCAACCAATAACTTACACGCTGACAATACTGCGTTTCTTGTCTGAAGCAGCCAAGTTTACATCAATTTGTTTGAAAGTTAACTTTTTTTTAATTGTGAAAACGTTGTTTGGTACCTTGGCTTGTGACTGACCTGTGCAGTTGGTTCCATTTCCCTCATATCCATCTTTACAAGTGCATTTGTAAGATCCCAGGGTATTGTTACACACAGCATTCACATCACAACCGTGTATTTCTTTTAAACACTCATCTATGTCTGTGACAACAAAATTAAATCCCATCAGTGTATGAAAGTTATTTTGACATTGTTTGGTAACTTGGCTTGTTACTGACCTGTGCAGTTGGTTCCATTTCCCTCATATCCATCTTTACAAGTGCATTTGTAGGATGCCAAGGTATTGTTACACTTAGCATTTACATCACAGTCGTGTTTACCTTCAGTGCATTCGTTGGTATCTAAATCAACAAAAAACAGTTTTGATTTCTGGTCATTCCTTTTTATCACATAACAGGCATCATCGAGAAAATAGAGAGTATGGTATGTTGCAACTGGTTACGTGTGCAGTCAGTTCCATTTCCTTGAATTCCATCTTTATACGAGAAACTATAGGATCTTAGGGTATTATTACACTTGGTATTTAGATCACAGTCGTGTGTTCCGATCATACACTCATTTAGATCTAGCACACGAAAAGGAAAATAATGTAAGTGAGACCGTTTTTCTAACTAATCGGAAAAACTGAAGGTAAAAGACGGAGTGTGAATATGTCAGAACTAGTTACCTGTGCATTTAGTTCCATTTCCTTGAAATCCATCTTTACACGTGCACTTACAAGATCCCTGGGTGTTGTTACACTCAGCATTCACATCACAACCGTGTGTTCCGTTCAAACACTCATCTATGTCTGTGAAAACAAAATCTCATCAGTATATGAAAGTTATTTTGACATTGTTTGGTAACTTGGCTTGTTACTGACCTGTACAGTTGGTTCCATTTCCCTCATATCCATCTTTACAAGTGCATTTGTAATATCCCAAGGTATTGTTACACTCAGCATTTACATGACAGTCGTGTTTTCCTTCAGTGCATTCGTTTGTATCTAAATCAACAAAAAACAGTTTTGATTTCTGGTCATTCCTTTTTATCACATAACAGGTATCATCGACAAAATAGAGAGTATGGTATGTTGCAACTAGTTACGTGTACAGTTAGTTCCATTTCCTTGAATTCCATCTTTAAACGTGCAATTGTAAGATCTTAGGGTATTGTTACACTTAGTATTTACATCACAGTCATGTGTTCCGATCATACACTCATCTAGATCTAGAACACGAAAAGGAAAATAATGTAAATGAGACCGTTTCTCTCACTAATCTGAAAAACTGAAGATAAAAGACGGAGTGTGAATATGTCAGAACTAGTTACCTGTGCATTTAGTTCCATTTCCTTGAAATCCATCTTTACACGTGCACTTGTAAGATCCCAGGGTATTGTTACACTCAGCATTCACATCACAACCGTGTGTTCCGTTCAAACACTCATCTATGTCTGAGACAACAAAATGAATACCATTAGGGCATGAAGGTTATTTCGACTTGCTTTGTCTGCACGAATTTTAGTCTTCACGCGAGCGTTTCCTGTTGTCAGATATGAATATTTACCAGTACAGTTTGTCTTATTTCCCTGATATCCTTTCTTGCACCTGCAGCAGTACGATCCAATGGTGTTATTGCATGTCGTATTACCCTCACAGCTATGTTTACCAGACAAGCACTCGTCTATGTCTATAAAAGGAAAGAGAAGACGATGGACTTTATCTAAGTTGGTTTCCTTAAAGATTTTCATTTTTTATGTTTTTATCTAGATATGGGGTCACGTCTGATCTTTGCGTAGACGTTGTACTTAGTTTTGTTGCCTCGTAAGAAAGGAAAATGAGAAATTACAGTTTGTTCGCGTAGATGGTGGGTAAGAAACCGCGTTAAAGAAAATCGAGACTGAATGAGGAAAAAAACAAAAATGAGTGATAAAATCCCGTTCCAAGATGAACCATGAGAAGCAAAAGAGTCGTTCATATGTAAGTCCTAATTTGTATTTTGAATAACTTGTGCCATTCTGGATTATCCTTCTCGCAAGCCATGAAAGGTTGAGAGTTTCACCTGCGATGTTTTGTGACTATCAAACTATTGCCGTGTTCGGGATTGTTTCGTACTCATCCCCTTCAAATGAGTCTACCTAGCCACCTAAAAGAACTTCAATTGAGGGAGGGGCCTGGGGAGCGTATCACTTATACATTATGTTTCTGTCTTAGTAAAAAATGTAAGATTCAATCTTACCCTCATCACAATTATGGCCTTTAAATCCAGATCCATTAACACACAAGCACTGATAGTCTCTGTCTGTAAACCCAGCTTGGCATGTTGCGTTATTCTTGCAAGGATTTTGCTTACAAGCATTCTTAGGAAAGAATGGAAGAGATAAATTTAAAATGATATTTTTGCAGGCATGACAGGTCCCTTGCATCTGTTCATTTGTTCCCGTTGCAAGCGGGTAAAATTAACGGGTTAGAGAGGCTAGGTATCCCTTGGTCCGGTATTAAAGCTTTCTCGGACAATGAATAATACTTTTAGCCCATGGAATTCATCCTCACCTCTGCTCCGCGGTAACTACAACTTTCGTTTTGCACCAGGTCTTCATCGTGTTCAATAGTCGCGTTATTCAGATCACACTTGTGTTTTCCAGAAGACTGTTTTATCTCACAGAAGTTATAACTGACGCAGTTAGGTTCCAGGTAGCATTGAAACATGCAGAGATCCTCGTTGACAACGTCAATAGTTCGAACCGTGTGATTCTCCAACCGGAAGCCAAGTTTAGGAAAACTGGTGAACTTTAAATTGCGGCAATTGCCTAGAGAAAAAAATCTACTAAGTTAGAAAGTTGCTATGTTGTGCTAGGAACTTTAACTTAAACTGGAACTTTAGATAGATAGATAGATAGATAGATAGATAGATAGTTTTATTAAAATTACCCTTTTGTCTGTGCCGAGTAAAATCTTTTGCAAGGTCATTATACAGTGCATCACCCAAGCTGTTGATGACCTCCGGCGGAACGAGCAATCTGGATTTCGCAAGGGGCGTGGATGTACGGACAATATTTTCACACTGCGGAACATACTTGAGCAATGTACTGAGTGGAACAGCGAGTTGTATGTAAATTTCATCGACTATGAGAAAGCGTTCGACAGCATTCACAGGGACTATCTTTGGCAAATTCTGAGAGCATATGGCATTTCACAACGCATTATTAATATCATCAAACGCTTCTACTCAAATTTCACATGTAAAATCGGTCAGGGAGATCTAAGTTTTGAAGTTAAAACCGGTGTACGGCAGGGATGAGTCATGTCGTCCGTGCTATTCAATATTGCTATCGAGTGGGTCCTTTATCGGACAATGGAAGATCAGCGAATAGGCATAAGACGGACCCCTTTTACTATACTCGAAGACCTCGACTTCGCAGATGATTTAGCCCTATTGTCCCACACACGACAGCACATTCAGGAAAAGACAGACCGGCTCAGCATGTTCAGCAACCAGGTCGGCTTGAGAATTAGCTTGAAGAAGACGGAGGCCATGTGTGTTAATGTCCCTCCCCCAACAAAGATCAGGGTAAGAGGACAGGACATTCCATACACCAATAAGTTCACATACCTCGGAAGTGTGCTCTGCCAAGATGGGGGTACTAGTGTAGATATACAAAGCAGATTGAACAAAGCAAGAAATGCCTTTATGAGCATAAGATCGGTGTCGAGGTCAGCAAGCCACAGCACAAAGACGAAGCTTAGAATCTATCAGAGCTGCGTATTGTCAACTCTCCTTTACGGCTCGGAATGCTGGCGAATGACAGAAAAGGACCTCTCAAAACTAGCATCCCTCCACACAGCTAACCTCGGGAAGATTCTGAGAATCTTCTAGCCCCAGAAAATATCAAACGACCAGCTACTGAGGCAAACCAAGCAGGAGGATATTCGTACACTTATCAACAGGAGAAGATGGAGGTGGATCGGTCAAGTGATGCGGAAGGCCAGTAACAACATAGCTAGAATTGCAATGCACTGGACACCTAAAGGTAAACAAGGCAGAGGGCTCCCGAAAACAACTTGGCGCAGGACAGTAGAGAAGAGACTAAGGGGGCTCATTCACAGCTGGAGCACCATTGAAAAACTGGCTAAAGATAGACAGGGTTGGAAGGATTTCGTTGCTGCCCTATGTGCCACACAGACATGATGGGTAATACGTAAGTAAGTAAAACGATTGGTTTTAAAACGCAGGACTTGGAACTCGCGATTTTTCCGTGTTCGCAACGTGCCAAGGTAAGGTGGCGGAAGTAGTGAATAAAGCTTGTGATTGTTGCCGTTACTTATCTCTTGAAACATTGAGTTACCAATCACCTCTCTCCTGTCATACAAGGCAGGTATGTTAATAACTTCTAAAGCCTGTCTATAAGATAAATCATTAGTGCTTATTATGCGTAGTGCTCGCTTCTGCAGGCGTTCTAACTGATCGGAGAGATATTGCGGTAGAGAGGTATTATAGACTGGACATGCACACTCTACAACTGGGCGTATGCAAATGATGTAGAAACTTAGAAGGTCATTAGCTGGCACTTTCGCGCGCTTTAATTGCCTAAGAAAGTAGAGACGCGACTTTCTTACATATCATTTCTACGTGCACATTCCACTTCAAATCATCATAACACCTAGTAGTTTAGCGGGAGGAACAACCTCAATGTTCGCATTGTTGATAGTAACAGGCTCTAAAGTATTCTATGACTTTGTGAATGATATTCTAAGTTCCTTGCACTTCGATTCATTCAACTGGAAACCATCAGCACGAGATTTTGTAACAAATTCATCAAAGCGCGACTGCATCGAGCTGGTTCCGTTCTTTTCCACACACTCAGCGAGGGTAGTATCATCTACATACTTCCAGATGTTCGTATTCGCCACACTCAGGTCATTAATCATTATTAGAAATAACCAGGGGCCGAGTTTGGTCCCCTGAGGAACTCCTGCTGGTACAGCACGCCATTCCGATACACGAATTTAGAGCAGTGTTACTCCTGAATCATTACCTTAATTTGGATTTTGGTTTTCTGCCTTGCATAGAACACCAGTCGAGTAGTTTTAAATATTGTTCTGAATGATCACGGCAAAAAGTAGTGTCCCCGTTGTGATGAACCCCTACAAATTCCCTTTGTTATTATTACAAGGAATATGAGTATTTAATATTAAGTAATATTTAACTTTTTGATGCGATCACCTATTATGATCGATTGATCAGTCGACGCCGAAGTCTAATATCAACCCGTGTTGATATGTAGAGTAATTCGTGTAATCACGTAATGACGGTAATCTCGTCTGAGCATGTTTAGTTCGTTAAAAAAGGTTACTGTCAAAACGTTTTGGGGGAGCTTTTGTTTAGTCTCGGCTCAAAAACTCAATTCATGAAATGCGTACGGGTTTTCATTGTTATGTAGCTTGACTGAAGATTTGGACCATACTGAGTATTATGAAAGCAAAGCGAGAGATAATTAAAATTGCTGACGTATAACTCAAGGAGTTAAAAACTCCCTTGTATATTAAAACTTTTTACCAAACTGACTGAAATTTACCCTTGAGCATGCATATTTTAAGGGCGTAATTGAGTGTAACAGGAACAATAAATCCTGAAATATCACATTTTGGTCGAGTGAAGTGGAAATACGATGAAAGGAATCATGCGACTGCTTTTTAGAATCTGATGTCCAAGTAGTAATTGACAACAAAACTTGAAAAGCGATAGAAAATAGGACGCCGCATGCTGTACTAACAGTTTCTTGACAAATTCCTTTTCTAGAATTTTTCGTTCAAGCCATAGGGTAAAGTCTGCATTTTCACATCATTCATCTTCATTAGGAGCGTGTTTTCGAAAATTTCCGTTTTCGATGGACAACTTTATTATCCAGATTGGTGTTGATGGTACGATAAACTGTAAGAATAAATTTGCTTTTTAAATTTACTACACTAAGTGAAAGTGAGGACTCAAAGTTAGGTGTAGAATATCGAGCCTGAGGAAAAATTTTCATGTCAGTCAAAACAGGCTGACTGCATCAATTAATGATGACTTCTTTTTCAAAAATACATCCTCTGTAGTGAACACGTCCGTAGTTTCCCATCGGACCGAAGCTGCACTAAGCTACTTACTTTCCTGTATTTGAAAAATAAAATCAAACACATTTATTTCCTTCAAAGCAAAAAGGCTTAAAATCTTTTTACGATCATTGAAATGTGCTAACGTCACTGTTTTAAAATAATTTCGCTCTTGTTTCGCCATACTGACGCGGACGATAGACATTAATTTATTTTGCCTGAGTTCGTCAAAATCTCGTGATCCTTATTTCATGAGATAACTGGCAGATTCACTCTTTCAAGGTTTTGAAAATCTGTTTTTAGCTCACGGTGAAACCTGTGTTTGATGAAAAAAAAGACTTTGCTACCAAATTAAAGTTGCTTTGATAGCAGATAGTTTAAAAACGGTCTGTTTCGAGACTCGTGTCACATTTGCAAAGCAAGGTGGTGTTTGCCACCTTTATTTTTGCGCTTTTAAAAACTTAAAAACTGACGAAAATTAAATACTCTGAGAAATATAAAACCTTTGAAAATTAAATACTCTGAGAAACTCCACGAGTGGACGGTCAACGATCTAAATTTTGACTAAACAGGACTGCGTAAAATTTGTTTAACAAATTTTTTTCCACCTGTTTGGGTTGAAAAGCCCCTTTTAGCAAGTATAATGAATGTATGTGTGTATTTATGTATATATACATGTACAACTTCCTTTCTGCAGAGGCTCCCCGCAATCCACAAAGTCCTCAATTTATAGGATTGTAATATTTGAATCAACTTAAGAATCAACTTTAGAGCCAGATTTTACCAAAAGGGTCAAATTTTGATGCAAATAACACGTTTCAGCCCAAAGTAAAAAGCTCTGTTGCTTTTTCTTTTCTTTTTAATTCTTTTCCCCGAAACGTTATAGTCGAAAGACTATATTACATAACTTGAAAGGTTGTACTTCTGTGTCAAGTTTTCATTTGATCCAGCCGAGCCATTTCAGTTGAGTTCAACAAGACTTTCCACTTGTTTTAAAATTCGAAGATCTGCCTATAGTCATCTTATCCTTTGTGCCGCATCAAAAAGTCGAGAACGTTTATGGAAAACATTGCAGAGACCTGATTAATTATTTTGAAGTAAAAATTTCCTAAAACTCATGTTCCCTAGAATTTTAATTCTGAACTTCTTATAAAATATGAGCGTTGTCTTATGCCTATCTAGAGCGAAACTTGGTCAAAATTAGTTTATTTTCTGAAATATTTCGGGAAGAAGTTTGTGTGGATATCTCAAGGCTTAGTTATGTTTATAAGGATGATAAAAATGTAACATAAAGATTCGGTAAACTTTTAAATAGTACTCAAACATGAGCTAGGACATAACTGTAGGAAAATCTCACCTTGTCCTTCTGGTATTAGAGAAGCCAAAACGGTGAGAACAAAGCAGTAGAAAACAAACAGCATGTTCCCACAAAACGCCCGCTATAATTCCAACGAACAGCTTAAGTGAGTTTTTTCAACTTTATGCCGAGGAACATCAGACAAATTGAGACAGCTGTAGTTAAATATGCGTTCAAATACTCTACACTTATTACTTTCGGCGGGAGATTGTCACCATAGCAACCGACTTGTCTCTGTGCAAGCGAATAATTAACCATATCTATAAAGATGAGTTTTATATAACCACGCACATCCATCCCAGCGGATATTACAGTGTGTTTTGACTTCAGGTTATAATTACTCAAGCCCAAAATATTCAACTTTTTTCAAGGGACCTACAGGAGGCTTTGTTACAATTTTACAGAAACAGGTTAAATATTCTATTCTATTATTTAACTATGTATTTACTTCAATAATAATTACTGGACTATAAACGGATACATAATCAAAAGTAGCAGGAAGCTAAACACTATGATTTTACGACTTGAGATGATTTTAAGTTCTGGAAAGCAGGAACTCTTAATGGTTAATGAACGTCTTTTCATGAATGTTCGATCAGAAACAGCAAAATTACCATAAGACAATTCCCAGGTCTCTTTGCGATACCTCTACAGGAGTAACTGGGCCTACTTTCCTTTCTTTCTTTAAATTACTTTGAACGTTTCCTAAATATACCAATGATGACCAAATAATCCCCACAAAGAAAAATGAATAGCGTGCTTTAAGTACAAAAGTATATCTCGATAAGTGAATGGAAAAAGAGTCAAATTCTAAGCTCCTTGAAACGTTTGAGGCACAACGACATGTCAAACACAGAGACAAGATAAACTGGGCACTGAAAAATTAATTTCGGGCATGATTTTGAAATTAAACTTCTTCGACTATGTACGTGAAAGAGAGCCAGTAATTTATTTTTTTAAAAGAAATCATGCATTTATAAATGATTCAGACACATTATATCATTTAGGGACATTAGGTCTTATTGGAACTATTAAGAAAGTGAAACAGAGAGAGCACATAAACATATTCTATGCTGTTTGTAAATTAAAACTCTGAACTAAAAAGGAACGACTGTGATTAGGTTGCGTTAGTTTTTATTGAAGAATGAGAAAATAACCAATCAGCTATGGAGTTTAAAAACGAGCAACAATCAGCCTTCAAAACAGAATTTCTTCAGTCTATCCAGTTGGAAAAGTGCTGCCATATACATTTCATTGAAGAAACACTATTGAACAAATTACAGGTAGCTGAAGATGAAGATTCAGCTTTTTCTTTGAAGAACAATGAAATCCATGGTATTTCTTCAAGAGAATTAAGTATTAAGTTAGATTTCTCGGTATTAAATTGAATTGATCGGTAAGGATGTCAGCATGAATTTTTGCTCGGCAAAAATCTGTCGCATGCAACATCTTATACGGTAGTCAGATATATCATCGTCTCTGATTCCTTTCGATTCCTTATTAAACTTTGGTTTACAGGGAAATTATCTGTCAGAGTGTAGCTGAGATATTACGTACGCTGTCGTTGATAGAAAGGTGCGCTAAGATGATAGGAAGTGACGTTTTATGTTCATCCGTATTAGTGAGACATATTTTTTCAAGTATTTTTCTACCATCATCTAAGAACCAGGGAATAATTTTTGAAATTTAAGGAACCCCGAGACACATCCGAATTTTTGCAAAATCGGCTCCACGGATACTTCCAACTTCCTTCACGAGTAGACGAAGTCATGCAAACACTGAAAAAGCCCTCTATTACTTAATTGCAATCTGTTTACAGGTCAACGAATTAAACTACTTTCTTCATATTCTTTTCCCTTTTAAACCTCAATTAAAAGTCAACGTTCTTATTTATTATGCACTCGACATTTTCCTGATTCTTTCAAGGCTTTTCTCGCGTTTTTCTCAGTGAGTACTTTCTTAGTCCAAACTTTTCAGGACTAACAACACGGGTGAATAGTTTTCGGTCTTCAGCGTCTTAGATCAATTTCATTTCCTTTCCTGGGAAAAAATGATCGCGCTTCCCTTAAAATTAATATTTGTCCCATAATCAGGCATTTTTAATAACAATAACTGACCACACGATCACCCTTTAGTTATGAAAACCTTATTGTGGAGCGAACAAAGCTCCCTGCGATTCAGTGTCTATTCAAAAACTAATCTACCTAACCTTAAAACACTTCAGAACCAAATAACGTAGAAGATAATTACCCTTACCAGGTGCTTTAAATAAAGAGATTTCATTCCTACTGTCATGCCCAGTTGTAGATCACATTGGTAAAGAACCCATACTTAGTAGCCGAGAAACAAACCACCTATGTGGCAAATTATTCATGACAGTTTTTTAATAACTTGCATGGAGTGTGATCTCTTCGGTGATGCCAAATTAAATCTACTGAACACATAAGACTCGCCGACAGATGTTGTCTAAAAATGTGAATACTTTCTTAATTTTACTCGCTATGACGATATCGCTTCATGCAGGTTAGATTATTATTCTGCCTGAAACAAGGAGACAAATATATTTGGAATAGTTTCTATTTTGTTCTCTTCTGTTTTCTTTGTTTGTTAATTTTATTTTTGTTCAGTGTATTCACTCTGAACAAAGACAGAAAAAGCCTAAGCTATGCCTTATTAGACGAATCTTTACGAAAAAAATATAATCGCTACGAGTTTTACGAAATTGGTAATTATCCAAACCAAGATGAACATCTATACATCTCATCGATATTCAGGGCGCGTAAGAAGCATCAGGGAGTAAAAAGCTTCTAGCATTCATGCCTTTTAGGGTGCATCAGTTTGAAGCATATTAACTATTGTGAATACTTTTTAAAGATTAAGACCGGAAATGCACGAATCTTCAGATTTAGATCTTATGAAATTTGAACAAACATTATTAAGATCAACTTAAAAGCCAAATTGTGACAAAGAGTCAGGCTCTGTTACCTATAACATGTTTTAGCGAAAGGTTTAAAGAACTGCTTTTTTCTTTAAATCTTCATTTGGCCCATGATAATTAATTTTCATTTCGAAACTGTAGAAAAGCGGTGTCAGGTTTTATGTCGATCCAGCCGAGCTATTTCAGTCAAGTTTAAATAAGCCTCTCAACTTCTTTTTAAAATACAAAGGTCCGCCACTGGCCATCTTATCCATCCTATGGGATCGAAAAGTCAAAAACGTTCATGAACAGCATTGCAGAGACGTGAGTAATTACTCTGAGGTAAACTTTCCCTTTAGGCTTCTCCAAAAGCTATTTCCCTAAAATTTTATCCGTTTGTATTCATCTTACTTCAAAAACTTGGGTTGTAAAATGACAAAATACTCACGAGCCTCTTGTAAAATGTATTTGTTATCCCATACTATTGCAAGAAGAGTAAGTATTTAGACGAAATAACTCATTATACCGATGCGAGGAGAAGAGTCTTGTGCCAACTCCCCCTCCTCCCCCGCCGCCTTTAATTCAGACGCTATGAGATTGTTGTACAGGGAAGGTTGACGGGGGTGCGGGTTTCTCGAGCAAGGGCCAAGGAGATGAAAAGCCCCGTCTATGCTTCACTTCACGTCTTTTCAAAGAACTTTCGAGCAAAGTTGGATTTTTTATTGCGAAACAATTATCACTTTCTTTCTGCAAGAGATTGTAATAACAGGAACCGACTTGTTTCAGTTGTTTTCAAACTGTGCTAGCGAATAATTAGCCCCATCAACATGACAAGTTTTTATATAACCACACACGACAAAATCCACGAATACTAAAGTGTATTTTGACTTCGGCTTGAAAGTGCTCAAGCCCCAAATTACCCTTTTTTTCGGGATATGAAAGGGCTTTGGTACAATTTTATGGAAAAAGGGTCAAGATTTTATCCTCACACTTATTCAAATCTTCTCTTCAATAATAATCACTGAACTATAGACATGTATGATCAGAGGTGACAAGAAGCTAAGACTTGAAAGATAATGGGTGCTTGACGTCTTTTCCCGAATCTTTGCTCAACAATTTTTTTTTGAAGATCAAAAATTCCATCTCATACTCGGGACAAAGATTTTAAGGAATAATATGAGTCGAAAAAACAGTTTATTTTGGTTTTTTTCCTAAAGACGCCAACTTGTAAGATTTTAGTTTCTTATTTAAATTACCCGAAAATTATATACCTGCCAACATGGTGCAACTTGAGCTGGTTACTTTCAGTAGGTTCTGAACGATTCCTTTAATGCAAGGAGAATCTGAGAAAATGTGGCAACAGTCATGTCCCTGAAATTTCTTCAGCTCATATTGGTCATCAGACACTGCAAGACCCCCAACCCCCGCACCCGCTTCTGCAAATTTCGGTAAATTTCCTGGACACATCCCAAATTTCCTTTAACTTTTGAGAATGTTTGCAGAGTTAATAGGGACGCAAAATGCCTCTTATATCTACAATTCACTATCCACTAGGCCTGTGTTCAAGGCCATTCAACGGCCACGTGAGTCGTAAGTGAATCTTCCGTCTCTAACCAAGGGAGGCAACGTTAAGAGGGTTGAGAAAGTAAGGCAAGAAAAGAGACTGAAAGGATAAGGAAGCAAATAAACCAAAAACCAAAAACGAAGGTCAGAAAATTGTTGCACTGAACTTGAGGATTCTCGTATTTCGGTGAAACATATTTCCACGTTCTTTCCCCAAATAAAGTATTATTATTTCTCAATGTGTTATTTTATAACTTAAGTGCAACTAAGTAAAGAGCCATTACTGACATCTAGGAACCAATTTATTGATTTTAACATAAAGTAATTTTAACTGACACTACTGACTGAAAACTCACGCAAAATGATAGTTGTTATTACAACTACACCTTTCTCCTCCTTTTTACATGGAAGAGCGTGAGAGCCTCCTAAAAATTTATTCTAGATGTTGACAAAAGCATTCTGATCTAACAAGTAAATAAGTTTTGCGGAAACTTAAACGTGTCATATAAAACACGTTGGCATATATAACCGCTTTTATGCCCTGCTCTCTGAAAAGAGAAACAGAACCTAAATGACTGAATCTC